CTGGACTTGTCTACAGCTTAGTGCAAGCTGCAGGGACAGCAAACGCTTTAGGCTCGGCAGACGGCAGCGTGGATGTTGTCGTGCCAAGGGCGCCGCAGCAATCTGATGGGTGGTGGCATCGGAAAGGGCACGCGTGTCGTCCAAGAAGCCCAGCCTAGCCCGGTACGAAGGGTCCGCCGGTGAGCTAGCCCGAGTGCCAATGTGTAATCCTTATTTTTCTAGAGATGCAAACATCGGAACTCGCGGCATGCAAACCTAGCACTTGTTCGATCTGGTGACCTCATGGTGACTTGACCGGATGCCCAGTCTGCCAAGGGGGTCCAGACGGCCACGCGTGACAAGGGATAGATCCACGAGCCAAGAGTGATATCAAATGGGGCTCCGCTGGTGATGACATGGACGAAGATCATTTGCTGCGCGAGACAAAGATATCGGCGATGTCGACACGCACTTACACAGACTGGATGACTTTTACACAAAATTGACCAATATTTTGATTCACACAGATGACAGGATTTGACACAGATTTTGCGTACACGGGCAATACTGTCACAAGCAGCCGACTCTTCCGGCCACGATAGATACTTACAACGACACGGCTTCCTTTCAACGAAACGGAATCGACGGAAGCTGCTCCGTGTCATGTCCCCCTCCTCTACAGAACACCAGTCTGCAGCGGGCACGGGAGTTGCCTACAGGCAAGTTGCAGTGCAGTAGCGTAGCAGCGCAGCGCTAGAGTCCGGCACTTCAGCGGCATGTCCCGGGGTTGACCACAAACGGTAGCACCCCTGTTCACAGGAGCGGAGGAGAATCCGTCGGCCGCGTCATGCCGCCATCATCCTCTCCAAGATAGCGCCACCCGTGATGACCGTGACCCAGGGTGCAGGCCAGTCTTTCGATCGATTCTAGCTCATTACCTGAACATCCACGTTATTGCCGGTCAGACTGAGACAACAGACACCGCCACCCAAGAATCAGTCATCTGAGGTGGCTGTGGCTTGCGTGGCCATGATACCCATCGTCGATGGCCGAATATCACACCAGGGACTTCTCGCTTGTCATGTATACGTCCGGATTTGATACAATACTCTCGTCTCGATACACTCATTCAACCACCGACCGGCGCTGTGGCGCAGCACCTCCTTGGATTGTACACCCATCATTCCCCAAACCCCGTGCTTGTGAAGCGGCCATCATACTTCTCCTACAGGCTACTGGCCTGCTTCATCTGCCAGATGGCCGTCTTGGCCCGCTCCCTGACATTAAGCTCCGGGTCATCCTCAAGCCCCTCGAGCTTGCTCAGCATGCCCAGCTTCTTCAACTCGTGCGCCCGCAGCCCGCACGCCCGCGCGTCGTTCTCGTCATCCTGCCACGTGAGGTTGCTCATAAGATGACACAGCGCCTCGCGGACCTCCTTTTCCCTGCTGGAAAAGTGGTTGCCCAGCAGCTTCAGCAGCGCCGGCTGTGCTATCACCAGCTGCCGGTGGTGCGGGACGCTCGCCGCAATGTGCACCAGGATGTAGATAACAGCCTCGATGATCTTGGCCTGCGGGTACAGAATCCGCGACTCTCCAGGCGCCCCCGCCCCCTGAGCCGTGCTCCCGCGCCGCGGACCGCCTCGGAGTACCTTGGCCTGAAGTTTCTTGGCCAGGATATCGAAGAATCTGTCCTGTCCGAGCTCCAAAAAGAGGTAGTCGATCATGTCCGTCGACTCACTCGTCAGCTCCACGATCGAGCTGGCACCGCTAGACGGGATCAGATTGCGGATCAGGTCGAGGCCCTGCTCCTGGATGGCGAGGTCGTCGTTCCTGGCCCGTCGCTGCGGGTTTGCCTCCACATCGCGGAGCGCCGCCTTGCGTGCCTCGGCCTGAATCGCCCACGCTGCTGGCTTGCCCTCAGCGTCTGACGGGATGCCCGACCTGCCGATCCACGACTTGCTAGATGTGAGCTCGTTTTGATCCATCTCGACATCCCCGTCCGGATCGTCCCGGCCGTCTGCCCCGCTCGACAAGTCATGCTTGGACCTGAAGAGTGCTTCGTCCTCGGTGTCGTCACAGACCAGCCGCACCAGCCATCCGGACTGCAGCTGCTCGAGACATTGCCTCTTGACGGTGGGCGATGCCGCTGTCACGAAATGTTTCAGCGCCCAGAGTGCGTTGAGCCGGAGAGCGGCCGTATGCGAATGGGCGTGCTCGCATAGCACGGTCATCACTCCATGCTGGGCGAGTATCTGTATGCTCTGTCAGCAGCTGACTACCACTGTCGTACTAAAAAAATCACGGCGGGACAAATGGAGCTTACCTCTCGCGTGGGGCTAACTTCAGTAACCAGGTTGCAGATGGCGGCTGATGCGGCTACTTGCACGTCGACGTCGGGGTGCTTAAGGAAACGTAAAACGGGAATGGCCACGTTGTGGTCCACAAGTGATGTCCGAAGAATGCTGATGGACCGCGAGTGTGCCCGCACCGCATGGCAGGCGGCGATGATGACGGACAGGGGATTGTGGCCGTATGCAGACGTCAAAGCCTCTACAACGGGCCCGTCCGGCTCGTCTCCTCGGGGCCTCTCTCGTGGTGTCGAAGGCTTGCATGGGTTTACCGACAGCGACTGCACCAGGTACGGCATGATGTCCTGCTCGATGAACGCCTTGCGATAATCCTCCTTGCCCCCCGCGAGCGAGCCAATGGCCTTGAGTGTGCTCTCACGCAGCTTGATCCGGTGTGCCAGCAGAGGTGGGTTTGTCCTGGGGCCTAGGCGGCAGGACGCCGAGTCGCTCTCCACGTCCATACCTGTGTCGGGCGTCGGAGACCACATTTTGGGATATGCCGAGTCTGGTACAGGTTCGTAGGCCTCCTTGAGCAGTTTGGAGAGAATCGTGACGGCACCACAGTCATACGCTACTGTCTGCAGCGGCTCGCTATCCGTAATAAGCCTCGAGATGACAGCAGGCGTCGACTCGAGGATCTTCCAGGCGGCCCGCGTGCGCTTATCGACGGGCGACTGAGGGTGGGCACGGGCAGCTGCGTCAGAACCCTGGAGCATGTCCAAGAGCACCGGCACAATAAGCAGCCCGACGCTGGGCTCTCGCAGCTGTCTAATCTCGAGTCCCGACTTGAACAGCGACGTCAGGAGGCTGGCGGCCATCAGACGCTCAATGTCGTTTCGTGTCCGAACCAGGAGGATCAGCCACGAGACGAGAGGCGCCCTCTGTACCTCTCCGTCCTCGCCGATTCCAATACACGGCGTGTCGAACCGAGACGCATCGATGACTGGTAGACCGTTGCCGTTTTTGTTGGAGGGTGTCGGACGCGCGAATGCCTGCGTGGCCTCTCCGCCACCCACGAAACCGAGATGTGCAAAGCGCCTGCCGGACCCTCGACTTGTTTGGCGGGGAGGCGCAGGCAAGAGAATGTCCATGGCACCGACTCCAATATGGCTGTCGATCCAATCGTCGTCCAGATCTGCCATTCCAAGCAGCGCCCTTGACGATGCCAGTTCCAAGCCGGGAAATACAGCCAGAATGGCAGGGGAGTACAGCAACCTGTATGCCCGGTATTTGGAGTCAGACACGATCGCTGCCAAGGCTTCCAGCACCACGGCAAGGTTGGCTCCAGCCGGTGCAGGTTCCGGGATATACTGCAGGCGGCCGTCCGCCTTTCCGAGAATATCAGCGCCAGGAATAACATGACCGCTGGCAACTGCGAACGCGGCCAACTCTGCGGCGAGATGGTCCAGGACGTCGGACTCGGCCAGAGCCAGCGCATGGCCCTCGTCGTCGCAGAGACGGCTGATGAGCGTGGCCACAAGAGTTATGGGGTTCTGCAACGTCTGTATCCTCCACTCGTTGGACCGGGCACACACATTTGCCAGGGCCTGGATATGTATCGGTTGGAACAGCTCGTCGGCCAGAGTCTGTGTTTCCAAGGGATCCGCGCAGGTATTCGTAACACCAGTAAGGGTCTTGATGGCGGCTAGAACGACTAGTGGAGGGTTCGAGTCGGGAGAAATGTTGGACAGAATGGCGGGAATCGCTTGCGAGGCTACCAGAGCTGAGAAAAAGAACGTTCCGCCTGTAGAGATCTTGTCAGCAAATGCTTGGGACGCTGGAGTGTGACAGCATACCGCTTGCGAAGCTGCCCAAAACCTGCAGCGCCTGCAGCCTCACAGACTCCTCGTCGCTCAACGTCTGGGCATCTGTCGAGTACCCGGGCTTGCCGCTGGCAGTCTTGGAGGACGACCGGGGAGACTGCGCCAGAGCCACGACGGGCTCCAAGGCGCCTTGCACCAGCCAGGTCTCCTTCCTCTGGGCATGTCCTACAATGTCGTTCTTGAGAGAGCGCAATGCAGCCACCTGCTCGGAGCAGTTTCTCGCATTATGGATGTACGCCAGCAGGGGAGCGCCCGAGTCGCGCGCCATGGTCTGAATCGGCCGGAGCAAGGTATTCGAGAGGTGTCGTCCTGGCTGTCGTCGGCAGTTGGCAGTCGCGCCGCGGATGGCGCCTCTGTCGGGCCACAGGGAGTAATAGAGACGAAAACGTAACGATACCAGGAAGACGGCGAAAATGGAGAGCGTCAAGGGCGTCTAGATAGACTGACAATATCTAGGACGGCTTTGTTGAAATGCTGTCGGTTGCAAGTGACGCAACAAGGAGCTTTCTGAGGGTAGGCTGTGGCGGTTGGGCACTGTGCGGGCTGCTACAGAAGGCACTAGGTACGTGGAGCGCCAGATGACAGCAGTAATGAATCTCTGGCAGTCAGGTATCCTGTTTTTGCACTGAACACTGTCCAAATATGTCCCCTAGGAGCAAATCTGAAAGAAGATATAATACATGTTTACTTGACTATTTCTCTTGCAAAACACGCTTACCTACACGTATTCGAGGTATAAAGAAGTTATTCAAGCCCGACTTCTGCATCTCATCGCGGCAAAAACCCCAAGACATATTTCCAGAAACAAACTATCTAGGATTGGAGAAAAGTTCTCTCAACAGCCGAAAAACGCCCGTGTAGCTCAATTGGCTAGAGCGTCGGACTTTTATGCAATAGAAGGTATCCGAAGGTCGTGGGTTCGACCCCCACCATGGGCGACGCCTGAGATATCAAGATCATCACTTTTTGCGCATTTTGCTCACTGTGAGCTCATTTATGGCTAAGGAGCTTTAATAAGACTACCAGACGATGGACAATAAGACGGCGCATCTTTTGAGCATACTTTTATCTCTGGCAGATTCATTTTCGTCGGGAAATCAAGGATCTCCCTCGAAAGTACGGTTATATTTCAGCTCGCCACTATACGACGAAACAACATTGTTTGGGGTTCATATTCCTATGAGAGAATGCGGGACGATATGTGCATCTCTCGGTATATCAGTTTTGCCATGACTCATACTCGTCGAGATATAGTATGGGCAAGTTGCAGGTGAAATGGCGGTTCGAAGGCGGCTTAATCTGATCGAACTGCGCCCTGTGAAAGGACAGAGCCAGTGCCACCAGACGCGCCTTGTTAAGCAGCGTCGATTGACCCATGTTACGTTGTAGTAGCCCTATCCCACGTCTATTTAGAGGGCTGGATATGCGTTCAATCCTGGTGTCGTTCAGACCTGTCCGCCGGCATGTTGTGATAATTTTTGGTGTTGAAGAACTCTTGTCCGTCTATGCTGCGCTCTTCGCCCTTGATGAAAGCCTCCCTTCGAAGAACGCAACGCTAAACCCTTTCTAGTACTTCCATCGGCCTCGCCGTGGCTACCCCATCCAAGTCCCCGCCGGTAGAGATGACGCCCTGTCTAGCGGGCAATAGGGCATTAACTGACAGCGCCTCGATGATGAAGTTACGTGAAATTAGCCTTGGCCGACCTCAAGATTGATGGAGAACGAGATTGTCGGGAATGTCGGGGTGAAAATGGCGGGAAGGCTGTGCTGGTGTCGCCCGCTCCAGACTGCCTCAAACTAAAGTCGCATTCAGCGTCGGTGTGGATGGTCTTGGGGGTGCTCGCCCGTGCTGCCGGGAGCCGCTTCTAGTGGCTCGGAGGCCAAACCGTCCATTCCCATTCCAGTGGAGTTCCAGTGTCGCAATCCGTCCACGCGCATCACGTCCCCCATCCTTTCACTGGGCCCCGACGCCCCCGTCATCCGCCGTGGATCGCTCTGCAGCCCCTCACCACCTTCCCTACTGTCGCTAGCACCTCTTTCTCGCGCAGACCGTCGGCGCCCGTCCGTTTCCCTCGACTTTTCCCTGCACCTCGCCTACAATCGACGAAGTGATTGACGGCATCGCGACCACGATGCTGCGCCGACGACCATGTTGACGACGTCGCCAAGGATCCCCGCCTCCGCCAATGCCTCGCCATCGACATTTCATTATGCACCTGCCCGCTCCTCCCCGCAATCATCTCCCTCCCGCCTATCAGCCTCCTTGACGAGGCGTCACTCGAGATCTTCGAACTCCTCGGCCCAGATGGCCTCGCCGTCTTTGCAGCAGCAGCCGCAGTCACAACAGCAGCCGGTCCAGGCCCAGCCAGAGCCCGCTGTCAAGGCCCGCCAGTACGTCGCAGTCGATGCCGGCACCCAGTACTCGCCCATGGAATCAGCACCAGCACCAGCCGACGTCGACATGCCTCACGATGCCGCGATGGCCGGCGCGCCACCGACCACGACAGTAGACCTGTCGCAGTCACAGGTTTCTCAACCCCAGCCAATAGCGCCGACGACACCTTCATCCGAGGCGCCGCCGCAGCAGCAACAGCAATCACAGTCCACAATCGTCGTTCCGACTCCAACTGGGCCGATATCGCAGCAGCAAAACCCTTCCAGCCTCCTGTCTCCAGGCAAGAGGCGGAAATCGCAGGCGTCAAGCGAGACAGCGCAGGTGGCGGCCGCTATGGCTGCTGGCGAGGCAGAGGCTTCCAGCGCTGCCAAGCGCCTAAGACCAGCCCCGGCGCCTGTTAAGATCCTGCCACAGAGATACGAACTTGGCACATGGGAGGACATGGTCGTTCTTATAGCACACATGTTGGCTGAGCTCATCGAGACCAACGACGCCCTGGCTCTACGGTCAGGCAACCTAACCAGATTCCACTCCAGGTAAGCAGGCGATGTGCGCTAGACGCGGCCCATTTGACCAAGCTGCTCACATATTACCAGAACGGCACCAAGTATCTCGGTTCTCGAGTACCTAAACAGACTGGCGAAGCACGCAACACTATCGCCGCCATTATTGCTCTCCATGGTCTACTATATCGATCGCCTCTGCGCCCTATACCCCGAGTTCACCATCAACACCCTTACTGTACACCGCTTCCTCATCACTGCAGCCACTGTTGCCGCCAAGGGGCTTTCAGACTCTTTCTGGAACAACACTACATATGCAAGAGTCGGCGGCGTGCGCGTTGCCGAGTTGAAACTTTTAGAGCTCGAATTCCTGTATCGCGTGGACTGGAAGATCGTGCCAAATCCTGAGGTGCTCGTGGCGTACTACCGTGGCCTTGTCGAGCGGTGTCCCGGATACGCACTGGAGGGAGACGAACCACCCGCAGAGGGCCAAGATGACGAGGCCGAGGACTCGACGGATGTGTCCGATGATGCCGAGGACGAAAGTGTAGAGTCTCCGGGCGAAGCCACCCCGGCCACAGCCTCCTCGGGCCCCGGGAACGAAGCGTGATGAGCGACGACGCTTTTGGTTCGATTTTTTTACGATGGGAGGCGTCTTCGAAGGGGCAACAAGCTAAAAGAGGAACGGCGGTCAGGCGGATGGGTGGGCAGCATTACATTTGCCATTTTTCATGGGTTTCGCGCACTTGGACTGGGACGGCGCAACGGGCGAGTTAGCATGTGGTTTGCATTCATGTCATGATACACCATTACCTTCAAGTTGAAGCTTTCATTCATCGGTGTTGTAATTTGGGTGGCCCGGCGCCTTGCCGAGTACGTATCGTTGGTGCAAGCACGCGGTGGCAGGTACTTGTACACATTCGAGGGAGGAGGAAGGAGCATGCCCGTCGCACCTTCCCGACAACCAGGCAGGCACCACCACAACGTCTCGCACTCGGTGTCCGACTTGGAAAACCTCGCGGACAATTTCCATGTCGCCCATCTCGTGGAATATTCCCAAGACCGTGTCAGATTCTTTCACATCTACAATGCCGCCCAAGGTCACCAAGCGCAGAGTTTCCGCCAGGAACGGACGGCCAACGGCACGCCCGAAGGCCACCACCCAAAGCAAGACGGCCAAACCTCAGGACTACGACACGGAGGGCAGCTTGCGGCGCAACCGCGTCAACGACTATGCAGACGTTTCAGACACGGAGGATCCTCGCGAGAAACAAGGGAAGCCGAAGCCCCGCGACATAGTGCGGCAGGCCACCTTGGACGTCAAGCGCAACATGGAACTTCAGAGGCAGCAGATGTAAGTTTCCCGTTGCCCATTGCTCGACTTCGCCTGACGTATCCAAAGGGATGACATGACGTCGGATCTACTTTCCAGCCTCACCGACGCCAAACACTCGTCGCCCAAGGGACGCCCCGCTGCCTACACGGACGGAATCAAGTACCTGGAGCAGTGCCGCAACCTCTTCAAGCTTTACGACGAGCACAACGCGGACGTCATGGCCACGAGTGTTGACAAGGCGCCTGAGCAGTGGGAGAAGGAGGTCAAACTCGTGTCCAAGACGCTCGACAATGGCGTCTCATACGGCATGGACCTCGTGGACGCCATGCTGCAGCCGTCTCTGAAGCCTCAGCTTCCCGTGCTTGATGAGACCCAGGCGCAGGACACTGAGAAGGCCGCGATCGACATGTTCGAGGGACACGGGATGTCAACGGACACCTGGGGGCGCAGTGCGAGGGTTTTCCTGGATGGCTGGTCCAATTTTTTGCAGACGCCTTCGATGAGTTGATAATGGGGTGTGTGTTTCTACGGGCATTCGGTTGATGGGTCTCGGGTCGTCTATGTGTATCAAGTTCAAGCATGGGAGGGAGTAGTTCTACATCCAACAATTTGAAGCATGCTCGGTGAATGTCCCTCACCTCGGTGTCTCATGTGCCCCACTTTCCCAGGGCCACATCCGCAGAGCCACTCACACACACCGCTGACCCGGGGCAAGTCGTTACGCGCTAGCCCCAATCCAATCTAGTGCGGGATCGCTTATCCCACAGAGTCGAAAATTCTCTTGCGAACTTCTGAAGTCCCAATTCCACCAGTCCTTTTTCTCGACGAACCACCACCACCCCTCATCACCGCGGCCGGATTTGACGTGAAAAGCTGGTTTGTTTACCCCCTCCTCCAACCCGTCGCATCACATCATCCTCCTCACCAGCTAACGCATCGTTTGCGCGACAGCCAAAATGGGTGCCCTTAAGTACGTCGAGGAACTTCAGAAGAAGAAGCAGAGCGATGTTATGCTCTTCCTTCTCCGTGTTCGCTGCTGGGAAGTACGTTGAAACAACCTCCGAATATCCTGTGGGCGGGAAGCCGGTCTGCACCCTCGGTTGTCGTCAATGGCGCTCTTCTTTGCGAGAGTCGTCGCTGTCGTTGACCGTCGGTTACGGCCCTCAGCTATCCCGCCCTTGCTATACACTCGTTGAACATTTGCTGAGAGTGCATCAATATAGCTCCGCCAGCTGAACGTCATCCACCGCGCCTCGCGCCCCTCGCGCCCCGACAAGGCTCGCCGCCTCGGATACAAGGCCAAGCAGGGCTACGTCATCTACCGCGTCCGCGTTCGCCGTGGTGGTCGCAAGAAGCCCGCTGCCAAGGGTGCCACCTTCGGTTCGTCTCCCCAGGCGCCAGAAGTGAAGAAACAGAACTGACACGCACCACAGGCAAGCCCACCAACCAGGGTATCAACCAGCTGAAGTACCAGCGCTCCCTCAAGTCGACCGCCGAGGGCCGTGTCGGCAAGAAGTGCGCCAACTTGCGCGTCCTGAACTCGTACTGGATCAACCAGGACTCGACCTACAAGTACTACGAGGTCATCCTCGTCGACCCCCAGCACAAGGCCATCCGCATCGACCCCCGCATCAACTGGATCGTCAACCCCGTCCACAAGCACCGCGAGTCCCGCGGCCTCACCGCCACCGGCAAGAAGTCCCG